CACACACCAAAGATGTTTTTGGCAGTTCATACAGCAGTTGTGGATGGCTATAATGACAAAGAGGGGCGCCAGGGATATGGTTCTCACGTGGCAGTGTGAGGTAGAGGAAAATGAAACAGAGGCGAGTATAAACAGCCAGCCCAACAAACAAACAAGCATCATCTCTGCTTCTCTTCCCGACAGTTGCCACAGCCGAGAGCTCAGCATGCATGCTCCTCCACTTTAACAATTACGCTACGGCAGCAGCCATCTTTCTGATCACTTAATTTGGAATATTTGCATACATGTACAAGATCAGTCCTAGCTAGTGTGATTCACTTTTAAGGCCATGAGTAGCCTCGCAGATCAAGTTATTTAGTGTCTGACCTCAAAAGCAGGAGATTGGCTAATGTACTCTTGTAACTACTTAAGGGCACTGGACTAGTGAATTCTAGCCCCTTGAAATTCAATGAGTGAGACGAGCGAGTGTCAATAATGTGGACTTCTAAGCATGCATTCAGTAGGGTAAAACAAGAATGCTGTATATGAAATCCTATGACAAAAAAACCTGTACAGCCACTGTAATGATCCTTCTTGTTGCTTCAACATCACCAGTGACAACTGTACAGCTGATTACTGAAGTTTTTAGAGCACAAGATCTTGAAAAATTGTCGTAGCTTGGCCCAGAATCTTTAAAGAGGCACAGTAGATGAAAACAGCAACTACAGTATTTTTTCTAAGAATGTTTGGAAACACCCCAATATGTGTTAGTAGTAGCATGTCGTACCATCTTTACCGATTTGTCACCAACAGGTTTAAAACTAACCCCCATCAAGCCACACAAAATGAAGTATGTGATTTCTTGTTTTATATATAGAAAGATAGAATTCCTAGTGAAGGAATAAGGTTTAAAGACAAGTTTCTAACAGGCTTCATCTTGCAAGTGACAGTGTATGAATGAACACAAGCAGCATGCAGGGATTATGGATATGGTCAGACAAGCATTCGGGTCAGTTTTGAAGTGGTCACTGTCGAATAGTCATGACATCATTAGTAGGAGACTCAGTTTTGAAGTGGTCGTCGTCGAATAGTCATATGACATCATAAGAAGGAGACTGCTTAATGCACGTATAGAAGACAAGCAAGTCACAAGAGTCTAAATACATTGTGAGAAAGCCTGAAATATGATCCAGTGCAGGCCAGGAGAATATTGAAAAATTTAACTGCCAGAAAATAGATGCCACTCTATAGATGTTCAAACACTGTAGAAGCTTTGTTGCTCATAGTATGACAACCGCAAAACATAAATAAAAAAATAATTAAAAGAAAGAAAGAGAAAGAAAAGAAAATGATTTCACACCTACGACAAAGCTTCCACAGTTTTAGAGGAACATGTTTAAGGGGAGATGCTGCTCAAAGACACTTTTTCTTTATTATTCACCCTAGAGCAATGAAACCTGAGCTGTTTATGGAACTTTTTATGCTGATTTCAAATATATAAATACTTTTCTTGCAAGTTACACACTTTTAGCTCTGCAACATGAAAAAGTGAAAACTTTAAACCTTTTGCCCCCCTCTTTTCATCCCTAAAATTATGTAATTTTTTACCATTCATAGTTCATAATGCTTCAAATAAAGTATAGAGTGCGAATAACTAATTAGAAAGCACATACAAAATATGTAATATGCGTGAAAAATAATAGACGTAATAAGTCCATATTTCACCTACCCTTGTAAAGGTATACATACATTTTTTTATTATACAATAAAATATTGAAATTTAAACTAGGTAATTGCATTTGTCACACTTTGAAAAAAATTTGGGCAAAATTTCATGCAGATCTCAGCACTAGAAGTGCCCGAAAAAGGAGGGGCCCATTGGAAAAAATGGCAAAAGTTGTGTCTTGAGAAAAACCAGTTTTAAAGTTAAAATTGAGTTTTTATTTATGAAAAATATTATTAAACCAGATGAAATTTGCACACCAAAAAGAACAATCCTTCTTATAGTGGCCACTGCGACTAAAATACGCCAGCACCACGAGTTTGTCCCTCCCGGCGTTTTCGAGCCGACTCCTCACAGACATTTCACTCACAGACAGGGCCATAAAATGCTTACCAAACTTCCGCTCCACTGGCAGAGCCTTGTGCCAACTGCAAGCTAGGAAGAAGTTCGACAGGACCGCGAAATCCAAACTAAGTCCAGTGTCATGCCATTTTGCAGCTATGTTTGTGCCACATACTGTCGTACATAATGGCAATGTCGTCCCTGCTAAGTTCTCTCACTGCGAGCTCTTTCGACCTCTCAAGATTGGCGCTGACGTCATCCATTGCCGCATCACGAACTTTCCGGCTGACGGGTGTGAATGACTTTGATGTATTGGCTTTTGCAAGCCAACAACTGCCGCAAATCGGACCAGCTGCTCGTAGCCTATTCCTACAGAGCGCGCTGCACAACGGCTTTCACTTGCGAGCAATGCCTTTTTTCATTCACAACGGAGATAATAACACGAGAAAAGCATTGTTCAGCTGCACTGCTCGACAAGACATGGACCCCGCAAATAGGTTTCACAGCACATACAGGCGCGCAGCAGCCAATGGCAGTCCCCGATTTGTACCATGTGATAACCCAGCCGCGGCGCTCGAAAAACGCGCAGAAGACTGGTTCTTTTTATTATTTCTTGCACTGCATCAGCGAGAGAAACTTGTTATTTGAAGAGTGAGGCTCGCCTCTCCGACTCATGCGATCATCAATGGCTAGCAGCGGCGCATTATCGGCGGCAAGGTGCTCGAAGACTGCAAACTATCGACTTTTTAACAGGCACCTTGTGCTCTTTAGATGAAATTTGAAAGCATTTCCAGTTAAGTCTCGACCTTTATTATTTTTTTTCATTACAGTAGAGGTACTAATCTTGTCAAAACAGGCAACAATAAAAAATCGGTAATTTTGAAAAAAACTCGCGTTTTTCGACCCGCATCTCCCTTTAAGCATTCCAATCAGCAAAAAGAATGTCTGTAGACAAATGAAAAAAAGCCTTAAAAATAGTCCGATAAAGGATCACTAAAACAAATGTATATCATAATATATTTGTGAAAATTGTTAGTACTCATTAATGTAAGGGTGATTATTGCAAGTAATTCTAGAAGCATGTTCTAAGTACAGAAAAACCTTGTTAATTCGGCAATCGTTAATTCAGAAAATCAGAACATTCGTATTCCTTCTCTGGTCCCAGCGAGCATATTTATTGTTTAATGGCATCAAACTCTCTTTAATTTGGTCATATTTTGCTTTACCAGTTTATTTGGGCAATCCTGTAAGCCTGCCAAGCCCTAAGCACGACAAATGTGCGATGCGAAGCAGCGAAAACAGCCTTCGCAAACAACCAAAATGAGGGGCGGCACAGTGTGCAGTACCATTTTCATCAGTATAAACTGTACAGTAACAACAGTAACAGAAGGATACTAACTGCTTCATGCCTATGTTTACAACTGCGTGTGACATCCAGTTGGCCACGGGCCTTCAGAAAGACTTGCTTGCTACAATGCGATGGACAAAGAATGAGTTGCTGGCCATTTTGTTTATAAAAAGTTATCACATACATGTTGTGGTGTTACTGTTGTTAGTAGATAGTAAAGAACACGGTGCACAGGACGCTCAGGGTTAATTAAAACACTAGATGACTAAAAAATTCTTCAGCTGCAGTCACACTGTCAACAAAGTTGCGAATGACGAAAACTGCAGCCTTCACACCCCTCTTATGCAAAATAACAACTGGATTAACATATTCATAAAAAAAATGAAAGTTTATCGCTGTAATATATTTTGTTGTTATTGTATTTGATACTTTTGATAACTCGGCATTCAGTTAGTTCGGACATTTTTCCCGCTCCCACCCACAATATTCAAAGTAACGAGCTTTCTCTGTACAGTATCAAAAAAATGAAAAATCTTTCAGCTTCTATGCTCTTAAAACGTCTCAAGACAAGAGTATTAAAAATTTGTTATGAGTTATAATTGCTGTAGTAATTGACGTTGTATGCCTTGGTTTAGTTCTTACCAGCAAGATGGATTATACCCAACAGATGCTAAACTAAGCTTAGAGAGTCCTGGGAACTTTTACTGCACTTCAGTGGCCTGAATAGAAAAAAAAAGCAACTTGAAGTTCATCATACATCAGACTGACATACTGACGAAATTAAAGTTTGTACTGCATTCTCTGTACTCCTAACCAGCCTCTCACTAAAAAAATAATTATAAAGTTAGAGAGGAATCATTTACTAGTCTAGATTTAGTATTTGCCCTTAGTGCTATATTAAAAGGAGCAATTGGCTGGTACAATAAAGGAGATATACTGTAACACATCAACTACGAGCCTCTGCTCTCTCTTGCGCAAGCGGGCACCCCCGCATGGGCCGATCCACGGCAGAGACTCCATTCACACCCCTAGATAATACTATTAATATGTTGGGTTTTACATCCCAAAACTATGATATGGTCATGAGAGACTCTGCAGTAGAGGGCACTAAAAATTTTGACCATCTAGTGTTCTTTAACATGCACTGACATCACGCATTACATGGTTTCCTGCCATTCTGCCTCCATTGAAATGTGACCGCCGCGGCCGGGATCAAACGTGTAGACCTTCGGGTCAGCAGTTGAGTGCCCTAGCGAGTCTATTGATTGATATGTGGGGTTTAACGTCCCAAAACCACCCTATGATTATGAGAGACGCCGTAGTGGAGGGCTCCGGAAATTTCGACCACCTGGGGTTCTTTAACGTGCACCCCAATCTGAGCACACGGGCCTACAACATTTCCACCTCCATCGGAAATGCAGCCGCCGCAGCCGGGATTCGATCCCGCTACCTGCGAGTCAGCAGCCGAGTACCTTAGCGAGTCTAATTCATCAAGGCAGATGGCATCTCTAGATGTCTCACAGTCATGTTGTTTTGATGTTTCATACCATTTCATTTAAACACCCTTTGTATTACACCAAGCAAAACAACCAGCTGGAAGGGACTCACGTCATAGGCCCCAGCCTTGATTTGTGCATATAACCTATGTTGATCTTCATCCCAAAATGGGGGGTAACCAACAAGCAAGATGTACAGAATGACACCTGAAAAAGACATGTCCAGGTATGCACATCACAAACTTAATATGGGGTAACGAGGTTTTGCCATAATAAAAAATTATATCACTGTTATATACTGTTTCTTGTCTCAGGTAGTTTGCTTTATTAAGCTATAAAAATGAATGAACCAGCCCAAATAAACGCTCAGTTGCAACTAAATTGTTGTCGAGATGTTCTTGAAGCTTATGTAAAAAATAAAAATTTTTGTAGCCCTTTTTTTATAGACCCCATAATATTCATGCAGACAAATCATTTTAAAATGTGAAGGCCATCTCACAGACAATAAATGATGCTGCAAAAAATATGAGAACTTACATGGAGCATTCTAAGCTAAAAAATTGAAACCACTAATAAATGAGTTGCTTATTCTCATAAGCTCACAAATGAACTGTAATCATATTTATTGTGGTTTCCTGCATTCTGCATGCACATTTGATAAAAGAGATGTAACTTATTCAACATAGGTCCAGGCCAGCACCTCCTCTATTTTATCAATGCCAGCTAGATGCATCCGATCCAGACGTTCACCACCCTCTCCTCTAGCCCTTTTCCTGCTCTCTCCCATCGCCTAGCCTTCTCGTGTGCTTTGCGGTCATAGGAGAGAGAACACATCATGCAGTGCCTCAGGACGGAAATAATATTGTAATAAAGAAGAAGTAGATCAGTGCAAGAACAGCAGCATCGTGGGTGCAGAAGAGGCACGAGCTAGCATCTGGGCTCGGAACTGTGCGCAATCAGCCAACAGCTCAGGTACAATAAATCACCTTTATAATATCAGGTAATTTTTTGTTCAGTTGTGCACAGATACATGGGGCAGCGTCTTGCATTCCTCGTGTTCACAATGTTGGCGGTCACGCTGACTCTGTAATAGATACGGTGTTTTGGAATAATGTGTTGCTGTTCGCGGCGCTATATGGACAACCAATGGGGACGCATCACTGCAATCGTGCTGGATCGCTAGCGCTGTGAGTGGTGCGGCATTGCTTCAAGCCACAAAGAAGGAGCATGAAGAAACAATTCTGACAGATGTGTCATACTGGAGAGGGACACGCATCTATAGCATTTCCATGCGAAACTGCTCGGACGCACGAGTGATGCAAGCAGCCCTACCCCTCATGTGCCATCGCATCACGACCACTATCTGAACTAAAGTGGACTGACAGCGCCTGTTAAAGAGTGCACGTTGGCACTGGCATTGAATGAAATAAAGGAGGCGTTGTCCAGGCCCAGGGCTAACAAGGGCTTATATATTTTTTCAAGATGCATTAGCACTGCTTGAATACACTGTGTTCAAACAGTTACCCAACAAAGGAACCATTTGACATCCTCAATTTTGTACACTCTTAAAATTTGAATAATGTTCCCAAGAATAGCTAGAAAGCCTTTTCAAAATGTGTGCATTATGGAATATTGTAATCCTCATTCACATCAACACAAAACTTGCACAAATTGCCAGAAAACCTAGCTAATTATTATTTCAAGGAGCCCTGCAACACTTTTCCAAGTAATAATCGAATGACCTCACAGTTGTAAGTCGACCAAAAATTTATAGCTCACTCAGACTCACACCAATCATTGTTTTCCCAAAGTGGACTAACTCCAGCTCAGACTCGCTAGAATTATCCTCAATCAGACTTACTCGGACTCATACTCAGCAAAATATTACTCACCCACACTCACTCAGACTCAGACTCACAGCTGTATCTGAGTACCAATGATTTGACTCATGAGTGTGTTAGTATATTATTAGCTGTTTCGTCCAAGGTGTCAATGTTTTCTAACACCGATATCTTGCATAATCTGTGCTCTACTTGGTCATTTTGTGTTCACATTATTATTGACTTGGCATATGAAACCTACTGTGTTAATGTGTCAGTAGACATAATTATGTAGTAGTATAAATGTGAGCCAACATAAGGCTGATAGGCTGAGGCTGAGTAAGTAGGACGAAAGGTTGGCAAAACAATGTGGAACTCACTCAGACCACTCATGGACTAAACCTCGCTCTTAGGTCTGGCTAAGACTCACACTCATCAAAGTTTGTCATGACCTCACTACTATATCAGAATGTATTGAGTCATGAATTGCTTGCTGCAAATTTCGTTTGGCATTACAAAGAGTACTCAAAGCTTCGTCATAATGCCCATACAGAACACTGCATACACTTAGTACTTGTAAATCATCGCACTGATACTTATGTACTGGCATGACCTCAAAATCAGGTGGTTCAATAAGTTGCCATATATTTAGGCACGCCTCGTAACAATAGAAGTATCATTCTCAGCCGCAAAATGGATCCACTGTCTCATCAGTGGCATTATTCCATGATCTCTATTTTTGCCATATTAACTGCTTTAGAAATCTGGCCAATTCCTTGTACATTTCAGTAAAACATGAAAAATAAGAATTCAGCAAAGTTAAAGTAAAAGGAGAGATCGGGTAGTCTTCTGAATAAAAATGTAGTCACCCATGTGTACATGAGTTATATTAGACTTGTATGTCTACAACAGTATTATTGGCTGATGTAGCACATTTCTTTATTGTTCAGAAAGTCATTCAGGATTTCTTCAAAAGTACCAGACATATACCGCATGTAATTTGGAAGAATGCTTGGCAGGTACAACGCATCAACCAAGCTGTAAGAAAACAAAGGGCGCCATTTTAATAACTCACCACAGGCCCATATGTCCACTGGTTTGCCATAGGGATCCTTCTTCAACACTTCTGGTGATAGATAACCTGGTGTGCCGGCAAAACCTACATGTAAAAGCAGAAGCAAATATATTAGGTTTGCTCTGTACCTCGTTTTAGCACAGTTGAGAGCCGTGCTAACTGATGAAAGCCCTATAAAAAACTACTGTTATTATGCAGCCCAGAAAAAATTTTAAAATGACAGAAAAAATGACCCTTTGATAAAGACAACCTTTTATAACCAATTTGTTTTATATTTTGCAGCATAATGTGCGATTTTGCATTTTCAGCTGAATTATATGGGGAAGTGCACATAAGTTGCACCAGACAGAAATGCATGCATTTGGACTCATTGCTTCATGACACCAACCTGTAAGGTTATAACTGACCTGAAGTGGACACGAGTAGAAACAATGCAAAGGGATAGGGGACAGGAAAAGGATTTAATACAAAGTTGATACATGTCTCCTTCTTACCAGGTATGCCTGATCCCTGTAAGCTGTTTCTACTCAACTGACCCAGTTTTTGTATAACAAAGCTTAGGGCCCACATTTGTACTAAATTACAGATCTGAAGGATGTGTTTTTCCATTCTTCTTTTCCATATATTTAACCATTTCCTGGCACTTAATGCAGATGTACGACAAGATCCTTTATTTTTTTTTTTCGACAAACGCTTGCCTTTAAGGCATAATACTTTTGTTAAATGTGTTCTGTTAGGCCGGTGTTGTGTATGAAGTGAAGTAGTGTCTTGTGGAATCTGTTTTCATGTATTCAGTGGTTGTAACTGGCTGTGTCGCTGTGGCGAAGGTCGGCTTGAGCGAGGTGACGGGAGCGTTCTGGCTGCAACCCTTTACATGTCCATAAAAGGTGGTATGTATCTGCTTGCACCGCTGGAGTGGGACAATACGGACATGTATCACCAACTCGTAAATGTGACTAGTTCCATGACGATATAATGGCCGGTGTAAGGGCCACCCCTGCCCGAAGCCTCCTAAGCACAACTTCCTCCGCCCTAGCATGGTGAGGGGGGAGAGAGACACACGGTGGAATGAGAGCTCGTGTATCCTGCCGGAGAACATTTTTACGGGTATGGAGTAAGCTTAGGGGCTGAGGTGGAAGGGGAATGGCTAGAAGGTCTATGTCTGGAAGGCAGTGCGCCTGCTGGTCAGCAGCAATGTTGTGTGTGTTCGCAGCATGGCTTTGTATCCAATGTACTTTTACGCAAGTAGCCGTATTATGGTTCAGCTTATGAATCGCCTCGCAAATCTCCATCGCGTTGTGTACTTTCTTGAGCTCCTTAATAGCTCTGAAGGAATCAGTGTATACATCAATCTGTTTAATTGTGGGCAGCTTAGAGGTAGCATCCTGGATTGCGTCATGGATGGCTTGAAGTTCCATCACAAGAGAAGTGGCTTCCGTAGATATCGCTAGTGGCCACTGACAAAATTATGCGCAGTACTCAGGATTGATGCCCTTCAGCCGTCTTGTAGGATAGCAGCATCTGTATATAGTGTGCAGGTATTATTAGTGCATGTGGCCTCGATGATGGAGCGTTCGTCAATTGTAGATGATGTATCGGAGCGCCGTAACTTTGTTGTTTTATTATATGTGATGGTGGTGAATTCCCAGGGAGGCATAGGTGATGGTGGTGAATTCCCAGGGAGGCATAGGTGATGGTGGTGAATTCCCAGGGAGGCATAGACTCGGGCTCTCAGATTGACAAGATACTTAATACCATGGATTCCAAGCCATTGCCTACATTTTCAAAAAGTAATCGTTCAAGACAAATTATGAAAGGAATGTGACATAAAAATGAGAACATGTCAAACTGTCAATGTGCACTAGGAGTACATGCCAAAAAGCTCCCCTGCATTGGCTACGTGATAAAGAAAGAAATGTGGCTCCCTTGAGCATAAACAAAACTGAGAAGGAGCATTAGGATGCATTTCAACCTTTCATAAATAATGCCTCTATTAACTACTACTTTCATTATGTTTTCTGATGATACTCTTTATTCCTCTTTTCATTCCTCTTTTCCCCCCTTTCTTATACAGCATACAAATACTACCTGGGCATTTATTTCATGTCTAATACCCCCTGGGCAAAAGAAGCACAGTATATTACTTCCAAAGCCTTCTAAAAAATACATTTTTTGCTTTTAATGTGATCAGCCACTAGAAGTAAAAGAATTTTACACTTAAAATGTAAGCTCACAAATAAAGTGTGCTTGTTATGTCTGGTGGAAAAAACATATTAGGAAGTTACACTAATTGTTGGAATGCCCTCATTATTGCACAACCCTTTTTGCTTTGAGAAACAACAAATCTTGAGTGAGCATCATGTACTCAAAGAAAAACTTCAGTGGCACCTCTTGTCAAAGCTACCACAGGCAGGACAACAAGCTTGAACTTTTATTTCAAATTCACTCAACAACACTGCTGCCTGTAAACATTCTTTCCTGCATTTTTTTTTTCAGCATTAATTGATCACATCAAGAAAACTAATAAACTAAAACAAATCACACTGAGATTCTTAGTTATTCTTGCATCACACAACTAATATGTGGAACAAACTACCCCAAGGATGCTGCTGCTTAGTGGAGATGGAAATGCATATTGGTAGGGTTGCACATTGGCAGACAATGCGAATAAGTGCAAGCGTTGATGGATCTGGGTGTCCCAGAAAGTGCGACTCTACCAAAACCTAGGTAGATACTATGTATACATATGTTTGATAGCCTATAGCACAGATATTTATGATTTTGTAATATATGTGTATCCATAGTTTTTTTTTCATGCTGATATGAACTCGTACATTTAAAACCACTGCTATCATTTTTCAAGCTGTATCTTCACAATCTGATGCTTGGTTTGTAGCACATCCTTCACTATAGTGTCTTAATAAGCCTGAATATGCTGGAAAATAACCAAACAAGCAAAATGGTATGTGTGGGTATGATTTGCAAATAGAAATGCTTAAAGGCATACTGAGCAAAAATACGAAAACATGATGAAAGCATAGCAATTTTACTGGGAATATTTCTTTTCACACATCTTCGAAAAAATGGCTGTATTTCCGGAGGACCATGAGAGCGCAACTGCTGCAAGCCAGCACATGTGGAGCTGTGTGTCAGTGGCAGAAGTGGGAGCAACAAAAGTAACCAGCCGGTGCATGCTTTCTGGTCCAGCTGCTTCTCTCTCTCTGCCTCTCCTTTACCTCCCACTCTTCCCCTTTCACAAAAGCTCTAAAAGGTGCCCTCACCAGGGAAACCGAGGATGTCAATTCTTGCTGACACTGTTCAATACTAGTCCCGTAGCAGTGGCACAGTCTCTAGAATAAACTAAGGCCTGTAGTACAGGTTCATACAGTTGAAGCTGAGTGGGCTTCTGGAGAGTTGACCGTCACCTTTTCTAGCTCATGGTACAGCTGCTAGATATGGCAGTTTTCAAAAAATGCACTAAATAGTTCCGCTACTTTACGCCTTACAAAGAAGGTTGTGTCAGCCAGTTTCTGCCCTCAAGCTCTAATTCTGGCTGAATATCTCACCAACGAAAGCTTTTTTTTTTTTTTTTTTCAGTTGACACGCCAGAAAAACTTCAATAGTCCAAACAATGGACCTTTTCAGAAATGGCAGCACTGCGCCTTTTCCTGGTGGATAGGCGCTGGGGCATTATGGGAAAGCGGAGCGCCCGGCAGGCAGAGCTGACGACATTAACGACGCTTTCCCACTTTCGCCTGCTTTTATCGTGCGCGGTGAGTGGTTTTGGCTGGTGAAAGGTGCAGCTGCTGCGAAGAAACGGCTACGTCTCACCACTCTAACCTTCATGTATGCAAACTAGACTGTGTTGTTTGTCCGAAATAACCATAATCATCACTCAACATGCCCAAGAAGAAAGAAAGCGGTGGACACGCTTGCTTGGTTCTTGAATTGTGATAATACGGGAAAGTCACCGGACGTTTGGTTCACTGCTTGGTGCTAGTTCAAGACTTCGATTTTTGTGATGCTGCAGCTAAGTTTGACCTTTGTTGAGATGTTTGTGTCCTCACTCAATGTGATTACGGGGCTGGAATTTTACACCTGAAGCATACCGTGTAATAACCTACGCGAGTTTCGGCGGCTGCATTGCCGATGGAGGCGGAAATGTTGTAGGCCCGTGTACTCAGATTTGGGTGCAGGTTAAAGAACCCCAGGTGGTCGAAATTTCCGGAGCCCTCCACTACGGCGTCTCTCATAATCATCAGTGGTTTTGGGACGTTAAACCCCACATATCAATCAATCAACCTACGCGAGTTTATAAAGTCCAGAGCCTTACATACCTCATTAAAAACTCGCATGGTCTCCTATCCATCCACCTAAGATGATTCGATGGCCAAGGCCATCATCTTTTAATTCTTAGTCGATGTACTGATTGTACACCCCGTGAGTTCATGACTGTCACTACGATTTTGCCGTGAGTGCAAACTCGTCTTGCATCATGGCTGGGGGAGGAGGGGAGCACTGATGTAGCTTGGGTGCGGGTAAGTGCTGGTGTGGCTTGAGGGGGGTAAGTGCTCCTTTTGCATTCCCCTGTCAACACCCATGCCCACCACCATTAACACCACCCTTAGCCAACTTGCTGCATCTAATGAGATTTTCGACTGCCTCTGAAACCAGAGGCACTGCAAAACTGATATTGCATTGCCTTCATGATAATACTACCTTTGACCAAGCTCTGGTGTCATGCAATGACGTGATCACGTCAAGTCACGTCATGTTTTAATGATGTCACAATTTTTGGCATTGTCTGATGTCATATATGCTGTCATCACGTGATGATTTTTTCAATCACTCAATGCCGCCGACACGGGATGCAAATGTTTAATCAAGTTTCACGTTTGGTGAGTCATCTAAGGTTTTCACCAAAAGCAAAAATTTACCCTCGGTGGCTTCGGCATTCCACGGCGGTGGCGTCAACAAGAGTGATGCAAAAATCATCGCGTGATGGCATCACCATAGGACGTTATTGTGATATCACAGATCACCAGAATGTGCAAGGTCATCATGACGGTCTCATGATCACATCATGAGACGACATTGTCGCTTTTCACTGCCTCTGTGATCGGCCCGCCAATCACGGAGGCCGAGCAGAGCCAGGTGAGGTGACACTGCGCCGTAAATATGCAATATCCGCACCCGACTGCACTCACTTAATGTCCGCTCTATCGACGTACTGGTAGCTGATTTTTACTGCTCTCTGGGTTCTAAGTGCAAAGTTTCTCACACGCAGCATTTGAAACAACCAACAAGTATTTCAATCTACACAGCATAGTGGAGCTCGAACCCATTTAGTATAAGGGTGGGATTTCGACATTCATTACCATGCGCCAAGTTCCACGGTCTTGCACTGCGTATCGCATGGAGGCATATGACGAATGATAGTGCCCAATATAAAGTATACTAATAATGAAACTGTATGGTCATGCTTTCAATAAAACACATGAGAAAAGGTTCCGCTACGCGGAAATAGGATCAACAAAGCACCGGAGACTCACTGCAAAAGCCGAGTAAAGTTTCTAAATCAATGGGTTCTTTTCGCAGGTATGTGAGCATTTTCCCGGGTCATTAACAAGCCAAGGATGCTAGTGTTTGCTTGCCCCATGTTGCTCTGGGCTGTGCCTTTTCTGTTAGTGCACACTGAAACAGGGTTATTACGCGCAATATTCCTGCAACGATGCGTTCGTATACGACCACGCGCTGCGGGACACGAGGTGAGCCAACGCTTCCGCGAGCAGACGACACTCCGCCGGGACTCCGGCTTCCTATAATGCTTTGCAGCCGCCGTAGGTAGCGCATGCCAATTTTTGGAAAGGTCCATTGGTTAACAATACGGAACCAAGGTCGTTCACCTTCATTTATTTGTAGGAAGCACATAAGTGGGGCTGCAGTGGTGCATTTTGTTAGAAGAATAGAGAGAGACAGCAAGACTTTAGAGAAAAAGAGATTTTTGCGGCGTCTATACCGTAATTACTCGAATCTAACGCGCGCCTTTTTTCCGGTTAAGCCAGTTCATAAATCGCATGCGCGTTAGAATCGAGTACGAACAAAAAAATTACGGTCAATCTATTGCCATCGGCAAATCCAAAATGGCCGCCCCCTATGTGCGTCGGCATGGCGCGTCGCCCATTTCTGCCTATGTGTTTCCCATGTGCGGCACTTCGTACGTGCGCTGAGGAGTTCATCTAGTAGTGCATTAGCATCGACGGCGTGGAAGGGCCGACTCCAAAAACTCGAGCGCACCACGATGCCACTTTTAAAAGAAAAGTCATCGCGTGTGCAGAAACGGACGGAAATCGGGCCGCATCGCGGTCGTTCGGAGTTCCCGAAACGTGCGTGCGGGACCGGCGGAAACAAAAGCAGAAGATTGTCGACAGCAAAGCTTCACGCAAAGGCTTCAGTGGACCACAGCAGGGTCCGTTTCCGCAAATTAAGAGCTGCTCGGTGAGTAGCTCTTAATGTGCTTGAGCAGCGAGCGGCACAGCGGCCCGTGACGACAGAACTGCTCCAAGTGCGGGCTATGCAATTGGTCTTAGAAAAAGGTCTAATGCGAAGCCAGTTTAAAGGGAGCAGGTGCTGGCTAACTAACTTTATGAAGAGGAAAGGCTTTTCCCTCCGAAGGGGAACATGCATATGCGAAAAGTTTTGCGGAGGAGCACAATGAAAAGCTTCACAGTTTTCAGAGGTTCGTTCTGAACTTGGGGCGCAACAACGGCTACATGCTTGGGCAAATTGGGAATGCCGATCAGACGCCTCTTTACTTCGACATGCCTGGCACCACAACCGTCGAGAAGAAGGGGGCGAAGCAAGTTCGCGTGCTGACATCGGTCCACGGTAAAACTACAGTGACGGCAATGCTCTGTTACACGTCAGATGGGCACAAGCTTCGCCCGTACCTCATATTTAAATGGAAGACGCTCCCGAAAGAAGTTTTTTTTCGAGTGGTGTGATCGTGCAGGCCCGCGAGAAAAATGGGTGCGCGTTGCAATCGATGTCTTACGTTTTTTTTTTTTTTCCCCGCGGTGGAAATCGGGTGCGCGTTACAATCGAGGGCGCGGTAGAATCGAGTAAATACGGTATATCACTGGCATGCTACTCTGTATAGGGATGGGGAAGGGGACTAAAATATTTCAGAGAAAAATTTTTAAAAAGTAGTGACCAAGTGAATGTGATAAAACTAGTATTTACAGTTAGATATCAGGGAAATCAAGGCATTCGTGTGTGAGATAATTTATCAGTATAGCTTTCCGCCAAAGCCGATTTCAGATAGGTACTTGATTAATGACAGTACGAACCAAGATGTTTTGAAAGTTGGCACACAGGGTCTAATACTATATTTGTGCAGCATTAATTGTTCGTGGCAGATCATGTCCATTTATCGTTCAAACAATTGTCTCTCGTTGTGGTACGCAGGGCATTCGAGTAGTATCTGGGGGCATTCGAGTAGTACAGTTGTAACAATATGAACTTGTGGCACACCCTAACAGTACATATAACTGCTCATGTTCACCACGTTCATTCGAAGATGATGATATAACGTCTCCAGGTGGCGGGAAAATGATCGAGAGATTTCCACACTCACTTTTGGGTCAATACATTAGAGAAAGATATCTTTGTAAAATGGTGAATTGCTAAGGTGATCTTTTTCTTGGTAGGCATGTATTTTTGCGATGTTACAAGCATAGGCTTTGGTAAAAAAATATTCTGAAATTCCAGCATTTTATACCTTTTCGAGCAGCTTCATCCGCTTTTTCGTTTCCAGAAATACCAGCATGGCCAGGTATCTAAAGAAACTTGATACTTCGTCCAGAAGTCTTAGCCTTGTGATAGAGATAGGCAATATCAGACGTTACAGGCTGGCAATTCCCACTTTTATGCCTGTTCACATACTTTGTAGGGCTGCTTTAGAATCTGTAAACAGACCATCTTTTTGGTAGCATGCTGTAGAATAACCATTAGAGCCTCCATATTTCCATTGCCGACATCCAAGATGTCACTTTCTCTTGGCGAAACGCGAGGAATTTTCCTGTAGAAGGCATGAAGACTCCGTACTACAATTGACATATTCTGATGTAGAGCCATCTGTGAATATGTGCATTGTGTCTGTGTATTCTATGTACATGTACTCCAACACAACTTGATAGGTAGCTGCATAGGGTATTTTCCTTTTTACACTGATTCCAGAGATATATGGCACAATTTTAGTGGTGACAGTGTCCAGGGTGACATGTGCCTTCCCATAATAGGGATGAAGCATTCTGCACTTACCATACCAGGCCTGCTGTTCTCCTTGAACTTCAATTGCCAATCCGAAATCTGCCAATTTGACAGCAGCACCTTTGGCTTTACTGGCCAACAACAGGTTTTCAGGCTGCAGAAACAATGCACATTCAATATCTTATACCTGGTTTTTTCATTGATAAAAAGCAAGCGGTGAAAATAACACACAATTGTGCTCATCGTTACATACTTTTCATTTTCCTTCAATAAACAGGGTGTTTTTTCAGAAAATAGTTTTTTTTTATAAAAACTCTATGACAGTCACACTCCAGTAGTTTTATCACACAAACTTTATGTCGAGGTGGAAATACTTTGGCACAATTAAATTGACATTGGTGAGACTAATTAGCAATAAGGTTTAAGCAACTGCCCTCATAAGTAACTAAAAATATAATTAACATGAGAAAGTTATAGTGCGTACAAATTTATCGTATACGCACTTGAAAATCGTGAAAGTGGCATATAATTTGAGATATCCATAAGCGAATTTCAAAGGTCAAACCACAATAGATCGCACTCAGCATGCAGAAAATGTCGCCTCTCTCTAATGTAAGTTGAGTTGAGTTGAATAAACTTTATTTGCCCAACGGTTGTTGCTGTGCCCGGGGCTAGGCTACCAGGAACACATTGTTCGAGGAAGATCTTCCAGGGTCCTCGGCGACGCCCCTAGCCCGCTGGACATCTCTAATGTAAGACCTGTACTAAATGTGAAAAGGAAATTATGAAATTTGAATCAAGGTGCGTTCAAGCAGAATATGGTCAGAAAAATGGGCAAGCATTCTGAAATACACAAGTAGACAGCTTATTTTTTGAAAGCGATGTGTGGTGCTTTTCTGTTTTTTTTTCTTAACTCTTTCGTTACCACGCCTATTCAAATCGATCGCCGGTAATTGACGGTCTGAATTATTGGTTTTGGCATGTTGAATTTGTTTCTAGTGCACCCAGCACTTTCTAGTAGTTAGTCTAGTCAGTCAACTTTGAGAATCAATTTGAATTGGCCAGTTTTGGCAGTGATTTTTGACAAACTTTCACACAAACCGATGTGCGCGTGTTGTTGGGTAAATGCACTTAGCTGTCGAACTTGACAAAAGTGCGTGCTGCTTGTGGTTAAGCTACAGGAAAATCAAAGTTCTGTAATCAAACGAACATTTGCAAATCAAATATCAATTCGAGGAATCAGCTTCGCCATCTGACAGTGTCTAGCTGTAATAATTGCCAGAAATTTATGCCAGCCATTTAATAGAGAGCTGTTACTATGAGTCGATGGAAATTTATGCTCCAATGTTTTCTAAGGTCCGCTGTATGCGTCTAGTGTGGCGGTGGCCTTCTCAGCCAGTTTCCAGCAGCTTTAGTTTCGCTTCTACCATTGTATCAAACACAGGACTGCACCTAGTGTCACTAGTCGCTCCTATGGCATCGTCATCACGCCCGCATGCGTGCGCACCTGCGCTGCAAAGCACACGCACCGCTCAAAACTATCAAGCAACTGCATCTGAATTGAGTGAGCACGAGCTTAGAGTCCAAGGATGACTACACCACAGCTTCAAATATTATGGCGAGGATGTTTTGTGTCAGCTTGACACATCCACATTCGTTCAAGGGTTTGTTTTATTTATGGTCTCAAGTTGTCTCCTCCACCGCAATTGCGTAGCTTCTGACCTTTGTGCACAATCTTATAGCTATTCTAGTTACGTGTAAGGTCCAAACGTCGCTAGGGCGCGGTGTCGTGGCGCCGCCTGCAGAACTTCTCCTAACGAAAAAAAAAGCCCGGAGGCACATCTTGGCCCTGACTACAGAGCAGTGCGAAACATTTTAAGACCGTGTGCGATATTTTTATTTTCTGTAATACGATGTTCAAAAATGCAAAGAAATATGCTTGGATGCATATATTATTGAAATGCCAACCTAAGCGAAGTGAGGTGGCTCATGAAAAGAGGCGACGCTAGAAAAAATAGCAAAGACATAGAGAAATTATAGAGAAATTTATAGAGAAATTATTTAAATCACGGCCATCCATCTATATTAAAACACCTGCAGGCTCTTATCGCAAAACAATAAAAATTTACCAAGAAAAGTGTACCAGTTCACTCGTGTCTCACGAAAAACCAAGCAATGCTTCACAGCAAGGCACAAGCAATAAAGCAGCACCTCGGTTCCAATTTTCTTTGTCTTTGTGAATAGAGACATTCTGTAGAGCATTTATTGTTTATTATACTGCTCCTGGGTCATTTATCTTCAAAATGTACATTCTGAATTTTCTTTGTTGTAAATATTTTTGAAGATATAGTGTTTTTTCTTACACTATTTACCAGCTGGCAACTGAAAGTTACACATATTCATTTAATGTATTTTTGTTGCTCTACAACACATATCTTTTGGAAAAAGCATTTAATTGTGCATAATTTGGTATGCTGCAATCCATGCTAAAGCACTTTTCAATGTGGCAAAAACTATCTTCCTGAAACATATGAAAAATAACCGCTTTCACGCTGTAACAAAAGAGTTAATCTACAAGCAAGGATGAAAAACTATAAAAACTATTTCAACTGTCTGTAAAAAGAAGAGCTGCAGTGGCTGCCCATTAGCTTTAAATTTGAAGATAAAAAGAAAGGTTGATATTGGGTTTTTTTTTCCCCACAGCCCCAAAGAAAAGCAGATAAGCACCAAACACCCCACACATGGATAAGGCAATCTGTTGGTGCAAGTGAGATGACTTGGTGCATTCCATGAAGAGATGTGGTGATGATGTGCCTTGATTCAAATTTCATTACTTCCTTCTCACGCCTAGTTCTGGCATGATGTAATAGAGAGGCCATGCTTTCTGTGCACTGAGTGCAATCAGTTTCGCTTTATCTCTTGAAGTTCTATGATGAATATCTCAGATTATGTACGACTTTTGCTATTTCTAAGAAATGGGTATACCAAAATTAACATGCACTGAAACTTTCTAACGTAAAGAACCACTGTCAACGTAATTATTGAAATGTTCATAAAATGCTTTGTTAATTAATATAGTTGACATTATTTTAATTGATGCAAAGTATGCCCTCCTCAATGTAGAGTGTGCATGTGAAAATGACAGGACCATGACTGTCATAAAATTGATAAAAAATCAATCTATACTGTCTAAAAAAATACCTTCAACAGTACAAACCAAGATTTCAGCATTTTTCTTATGGCAATGACACCTAATTGATTTTGCACACATACTACTTCAAGCATCTTCATGAAAGTAAGCACACAATAATTGAATAATTACTCATTGAAGATCAAAATCAAATATATGACAATATTACTTGGGATTTTACATGCCAGATCCAGGATACGATTATGAGACATGCTGTAGTACACAACTATGGAAATTTTTCACCATCTGGTGTTCATTAACATGCACTGACAAGGCACAGCACATGGGCCTCTAGCATACTGCCTCCATAGAAATGTGCCTGCCGAGGCTAGAGTTGAACCTGTGACTTTTCGGCTTGCAGTTGAGCACCATAACCACTATACTGCAGTGGCATATAAAGTCAAGTATGTGAAACTATGCTTAGCCACATCCAATTCTGGTAACAAAACAGTGTCTCTTTTAGTCAGCAAGATGGTACATGTTAATCCAAACAATATTAATAACATTATCTGGAGTTTTACGTGCCAAATATATTATCATGAGGCATGCCATGGTGGAGGGCTTTAGAAATTTTGGTCCATCTCGTGTCTTAACGGGCACTGAAATGACATAGCACATGTGCCTCTAGCCTTTTTTGCCTCTTTGCAAATGAGACCGCCACGACTGGGATCGAACCTCCAACCTTCAGGTCAAGAGCCGAGCGCCATAACTGCTGCAGCGTCACAGTGGGCACTCAAACTAAACATACGCCTTTATCAATTAACCATAGGAACCATAGGAACAAAGCAATTCATTTTAACAAAATGTAAACAATGATAAAACTCCACAGTAGATTCATATGCAACTTCTCAGTAACAATGTATATATTGTATACCCAAAAAAAACACGAAACTAAAAAATAAGGCTATACCTACATGACAAGCTGCTTTCATATGCCTGCTTTCACACTGCTAGAAAAAGTTATTAACACGGTAACTTAAATTCAATGACCTAATTTAAATTGACATGCATTGAAACTTCCTAACATAAACAACTGCAGTCAAGGTAATAATTAAAGTGCTAATTAAAAACTTTTGTTTATTAGTACTGCCAATGTTATCTTATTAGTACTGTCAATGTTATCTTAAGTATGCTTGCCTCGGCATAGAGTATGTGTGTGAAAACAATAGGATCATGACTGTCATAAAATTTTCAAAAAATCTGTACTGTCTGAAGAAAAACACTCTGAACAGTTCAAACCAGAGTATCAGAATTTTAAAAAGCAATGACACCTAATTGATTTTGCATGCATACTATTTCAAGCATCCTTATGAAAGTAAGCTTTACTCATTGAAGATCAAAATCGAATTTACAACGATAATATCTGGGATTTTACATGCCAGATCACCAATATGATACCTGTCGAAGAGCACAACTCTGAAATATTTTCACCAAGTGGTCTTCTTTACCATGCACTGACATGGCACAGTACATAGAGTACATGGGCCAGCAACATGATGCAGTGCTTCAAATAGCATTAAAGACCTGTCAAGTTTTTCAAAGAATCTGAATTTGGGACATTTCCAAAACAGAAATGTACCACACCGCCTACGTCCCTACACACACATATATATATATATATATATATATATATATATATATATATATATATATATATATATATATATATATATATATATTCTTAAAACTCATCTCGAAAACAGAGGGAAGGGGGGGAGTGCCAACTAGCCTTGTACGCATAACATCAGCACTGAGGTCTCATAATGGCTTAGAATTGCTTAACAAATAACGCAGTGCCATTTTTTGGGCGTGTTGGTAAAGGGAGCTTGACGACATATTGAGCGCTAAGAGACAGGGACAGGAGAGAGTGGACACCACAATGCACAGTTAGCGCATTGTGGTGTCCACTCTCTCCTGTCCCTGTCTCTTAGCGCTCAATATGTCGTCAAAAAATAACGCAGGTAGAGTTTCTCAACTACGTGGGTTTACATCAACGTCTTGTAAATTGGTTTACATAATGGTATACGCAATTGGTATGCGAAAAGCCTAGATTGAATTTTTGTCAATGTGGACAGATCATGCCCAGAAATTTAAACTTAAAAGAGATTTTCCTACCAATAGAACAAATGTAGCAAATGGTCGAAATCCGAGAGTCGCCTGGCGTATCCAGGATACTTCACAAGTATGTCATTGCATTTTTTTTTTGGGGGGTGGAAGGGGGGTGCAATAACTATTTCGCATCACCTCGTCACCCTACTCTCTAAACATAAATATTATGTTAAATACACATAAAACAAACCACGATTATGTTAAAAAAACTGTTGCTCCTGTTTCTGCACAGTCAATGACAGGTAAATAAATTATATGTATATTGTATGTATGTATGTGTATATGCTGTACCTTTTCACAAAAGCACTTTGGCCACCCCATGCCTGAGACTGGGCAGTTGGGAATGCACACTGTTACATCTGAAGAGAGTTGTTGCAGTGAAAAATACCTTATGCCCTTTCACTGCCTAGAAATTCTACTTCATCTTTGTAGTACACCACAAGAACGTACTTACGCACCTTAAGATCTCTATGAACGACATTGTTCTGGTGACAGTGGTTCACACTTTCCAGAATTTGTTGAATGCAGTGGCTAGAAGAAAAACAAGAACACTAGAATTATCACTAAGCAGCAAAAGTGGTCACGTTGTGGAATACTGCATGTCTGCTTTTTATTCCGCTTACTATAACAAGTCAACAGAGGCAAGGCAATGTCAGTTCAAGATTGCTCGATGTTGTGCCTTATAAATTATCATGATGTATTAACTTCAAAAAGCTGATAGATTTCAACAAGCGATTCAACGTGAAAAGAGAAAGTATTTGCCATGCATGGCAAATACTTTCACAGCGTTGTGCAGGGAGCAGGGAAAGGGCACTGGCCTACAGCAGTAGGAGGACTTCCTGTCTGGCTAGTTGGTGTTTGCTGATCCCCATAGTGTAAACAAAAATACAAAGACACACAGACATCCAAAGAGGGCACTACTACTAACAAGTTTGTCATCTCTGACTAATGCCCGCTGTAACTTGTGCATCTGCGCATTGTGAGTAGTATACATCGCTTCGCATCGACCTTCCACTGAATACTGGCACTACCAACTGAGTAGCACATCTCTGAGTCTTTGTATTTGTGCTACACCATGACAATCTGTAGCAGCAATGTCTGCTTACAAAGCTACCAGTTTCCATCATGTTCAATGTGCATGCACAAACACGTACACACAAAAGGTGTGCGAGTGATGATATGTACTGAAGTTCTTTTATACTGTTCCTTTTTTTTCTTGTATGCAATATATATTTCACTATAGAACTACCAGTACAATGCCTTAACAGCTGCTTGTGCTGTCCTTGTTATTGCTTTGCTTGTCAATAATGAAAAAAAAAAAAAAACTTTTCATTACCAGCTCTCAGAGGTTTCGTGTGTCTGCCAATTGCTGCTGGGCCGGTCGGCATCTCTTTGCACATGTTTGTCAACACATATGTGAAGATTATGTATGCACTGAGTGTAAGCACAAGCCTATGGGCTTACAAAACTTGTATGCTGGCCGAGTGAGTGGTGATAATAAGCTCACCAGTTTTCTTCAGAACAGAAAAATTAGTTCATGGATAAAACTATGAATATAAGATGTTAGCTGACAGGCATATCTAAAGCAGATTGGCCTGTTAATGCTATGGGACATCCGATCCACCTATTTTATATAAAAATTTATTTGATAAACAAATCAAATCTAGTAAAATAAATAACAGTGCAAGAATAAAGACTTGTTTCCAATGTCATGTGTCAACATGAAGACTTCATACAGTTTCACACAGAACGTAAAGTAAATACGGTACATGTCAGTTACTTTGTTAAACTATTAAGTAGATGCATTATCAAAATTTTGCCTCGCAGAGGTTCTGACATGTGTGTTATCATTGAAATTTTGCCTCAAAAAGGTTCTGACATGTGTTAGATATGCATATTTTTCATGCATTACCTTGCATCAGCTTCACTGTAGTATTCCCTGGCGACAATGTCCTCGAAAAGTTCACCCCCGGTGACACTGCACAAACCAGACATCAACGTGAAGATTAGTTGCGAGTTTTGCTTCTCTGAAACCATAAGCACCGCCATACTTCAATGTCTAAAATGCATGATGCATGCATAAAAGGACACACAGTCACTCAGAACTATAATCTAGATAACTAATCTAGATGAAAAAATTGGATATTATATTGGCTAAAACGAGCTCTGTTTTTCTCATTACACAGATTTATATTTTTATTTCTTCCCTAAAGTCACTTTTGACACTTCTTGCAGCAAAAAAAGTGAAGAAATATGCGATGGCGATCACGTAAACATTTACTGGCACACACGGTTAATGGCCTGTATATAAGTGTTGAAATACAGTGCACTACTTTTTTACCGTATCTTCTTTAACCTAAAATGTGCTGATGCACCTTCATTTGTAGTTAGCAAAGCAGTGGTGCCACCTTCTCTAAATGAATTATCCTAAGCTCATGAAAGGCAGCAGGTGCCCTCTGCAATAAGCTCTGACAACGAGCTAAACCACAAAAGCCACAGGAAGCAAGAAAGTTAGCTGAGACTAGCAGCACTTGTAAACAATTTGGTTAGCTACAATGCGTGCCTGGACTACGGTGGTGTAAAGGGATTTCGCGTGATGAAGAGCGTTAGGAGAACTTATACTCTTCCAGCTTTCAGTATTGAAAAAGATTGTAAATGATAAAATGAAGGCAATTAACCACAACCGCACTCACTCCTGTGAAAACAAACACTCAGCATAATGAACTGTTAGTGAAGAAAAGAATCAAAATTGAATTTAATTGTCCCCATTACTGGAGGAAAAAATTATATGTTTTAGTGGTTTCACAGATTGAAAAATGTTGCTTACAAAATATCCACATGCTTTTGGAATTGACCACTGCAGGTTTACCCGCTATTGAGGGGAAGCTTTTCGTTGTGCCATAAAAAAAAATGGGCTGAGAAAAGTTTGTTGTCAGTCTTCAAGTCATAGCTGCAACTAAAAGTGGAAAAGAAAGGTGAATGGAGAAATTAGAGACCCCTAACCTTCAATTTCAGAAATACTGTGTTTTCATGAACAATAGAACAATTTGTTGTATAACTGAGTATAGCGATTGCTTATTATAAAATTTGACAAATTTAGTTGCACAGAATCCCTGCAAACAAAGACCCTACAATAAAGTCTGAGCTGGAATATTAACAACGAATGAAATTATTCGTGAATTTTATTCACAAAATATTCATGCTGTTGTGTAATTGAAACTTCAGTTGTTATTAAACATTGGTTTAACAAGGTATGTAGCAGTCTGCAGCTATACATGCAAATAATCGGGTACATCAGTGAAATCACGCTCCTAAAAATCGATCAGTGGCAAGACATTTATTATTATGAAACCAAGTTTGCCCTAAATTAAATACAAGTCCTGAGTCACAAAATTATTTGTGTCATTATTATGCACAAATGAAACAATTTATGACAAAATAATAAAAATTGGCAGGTGTGCAGTTATATATTTTGAGCAAGACGCGTTGAATGGTTCAACGGCATAGAAATTAAAAGCACTAACATCTTGCTAACGTCAGCACATAAAAGTACAATATGAGTTGGCTGTTTCATTTTCCAATCATATCTAACATTTGCTAGCCATCTCAGCATTGGCAAAGAGATAAATACTTTGAGTGAAGCTTGCCGTTTCCCACTGCACTTAAGTTCCCGAATTCGTTAAGTGAATTCAAGTTACTGTAGAAGAAGAGACTGTTAAATGAGTTGGTATTCTATTATCAAGAAAATTGTGAGAAAAAAAGTAAATTACTGAGAATACTTATTTACTCAGCACATTAGAAATTACAGAGATTGAGACATTTGTGCTCCACTGTCACTCCTTCTGTCCACTGCGATTGCAAAAACACGACATTGCAGAGCGTTCACCATTGTGTGTTCAGCATCTGCAGTCATTACCCGACGATGGTAGTTTTCGCACGTATGCACCAATACCACTTCGTGTCCTCGCACTTCGGGAACATTTTCTAAAACAACGGTCCTGCGTGATCCCTAACACTTAGTGTGCAAGTTGCATTCCACAAGAAATCTTGTGAATAGGCATTCTGCGCAGATCGAACTGTCTTCACAGCTCTTTCAGACGAAACTTCTGATGTTGCCCTGCCCTTCCGTGGCATGAATGTAATTGTGATGAGTATGTGAAGGGACGTGCACCTTTATTACATCATCCTTGCCACTGTGTGAAATGCTTACATCACAGGTGCATGTGGTACAGAATCGATACTTGCCACCCTTTCGTGAAGTCGCAAAGAATGAAAACTCATCTGTATACAAGTACAGAAACACTTGCAAGTACTTTTTTGCTTCTGACACTGCTATCGACCTATAAACTAGACTTGGCCAAACATGCAAATTCCAAGCTACTTCATATTCATAATTATTCATATTCATGCACAAACAACCTGAAAATTATTCTGAATAGCGAACTACTCTAAAGATAGCTAAATTCTTTGAAAAGAAAATGGGCATTGAAAGCAGACTGTAAAAGTTACAGGTCCACATGTAAATGTTTTAGAAGTTATACGTTTCGAGAGCTAGACCACTTTATAAGTTAATACATCAAAACTGCAGGACAGGTAACAACCACCCTCATCGGTAACAAAGTAAGTGCCCCTATGCTGCTGTTGCAACACCAGAAATGAAAATGATGCCCTAATTTCGCAAGCCTATTTTTGAAGATTAATGGGGTAACCAGGGAAAAACAGTGCGTACTACTATATGACAAACGGTAAAAATAAATTTTCCCTAAAAATAGTGTTTTCTTTTCATAAAGGAATACTAAATTAAACAATGAATCGGTTTAGATTGATAAAACATACTTTCAGAACTCTAATGTCACTGATTTTGCTATAACAATTTTGTTAGTAGATGAGAAAAAGAAGGAGAAAGATCTATTTTTTAATTCTGCACCACAACCTCCACGTGTGACATATTTCAAAGTATATTTATAATATTTTGACAACATTGGCTCAACTAATTTTTTTTCAACTTTGTATGTTGAACCTATGTCTTCCTCCAAGGTCAGCACACATAATTTTCACCAACTGGGGATTCTGTAGGCCCTAATAGATTGCATTGAAATCTTTGACATCATAGAGTTTGGTGCGAAAATTTCAAGATGATGTGCCACTCGTTTTTTTTTTTTTTTTGTGCATTTTCTTATTTACCAAGCATCTGCTTGTGGCAACCATGGCAATTTTTGAATTATGAAAGAGCGATTTACAGGTAATACAAAAAAATTCTCTCTTTAATGTCCCTTTGTACCACACACTCGAGACATATGGTACGCAAGTGTTCTGAAAATGAAACTCACAGATCAAAAATTAAATAGTGGTATCCTTCCTCTTGTATACTGTCATGAAGCCGCACTGCAAAACCGAAAAAAGTAATGGTGTTAATACACTTCACAGTAAAAGCAAGAACATCTCAAATTGAAAGCATCCACTTTAATTTACAAAGTACAAATTTATACAGTTTCATAAAAATTACAAGTACCAAGGCTATGCCTTACAGAGGTATCTTAAATTAAAGGAAAATATGACAAAAGTTTCACAAAGAAATGCAAAAATGTAAATGGTGCAGATAAATAAAAAAATAATAATGCAAATTTCTCACCTCTCCCCCTTTTCTTTTTTTCTTTATATCTTTCACCTTCATGAATAATTTTGCATAGAAAGTCATCAAACAAGCAGTGTTTGCCTCTTCAATCCTTACATATGCAAGAGTGCTTTATCTTCCAATGCTAATATCACCCACTGAGGCTTTTAGCATAGGTAAAGAAAACACCTTTCCTATTTGGTGCACCTGAGACTACATCTTGAAAGCCTTAGGAATGCAAATGCCAAGAAATATTGTCAGAGCCTGTCAAGATGTTTGACTCATTTTCTTTTTTTTCAGCCTAGGACAAGTCACACAACTTCTGCAGGAAAGCCATCAATAAATGCTAATGGCAACCATGTTTAATTCAATATGTGTTTTACAAATTTAAACAGCTCATTAGGGCTAGTTTTAAGTGAGAATACAGATTATTGCTCACTTCATGCTGACAAACTTGACATTAAATACATGTTATCACTAAAGATTACCATGGACTCAACAAATTGTCATCTTCATGCTTATGGCTTGCATGCTCAATTTAGGGTCTAAACCATCCTTGGCAACCACACTGCAGCCCGAGAACTTGACAGCTCGAGGACTTTTCGAGTTACCGTTGAAAGAACCTATTCGAATTTGCAATTGTTCACATTTCATTCTTCCATGACTCTACATGCTACACAGCTCTGAGTATTTTCATGTAGTCTGTAAGTGAAGAGTGTTTTATATGAAAACATTTACGAAATTGAGTATGATACCTAATCAACCAAACCAGCTCCTTTCAAAACTGAGTGTCTTGTGCAATCTACAATTCAGTGAGATTTAAAAGTTATCAGCTGTATCACTATCAAATATTGACTGAGCATAATACATAAATCACACTTGAAATCTTGAATAATCTGGTAAAAATATTCCAAAAAAAAGTGCAACTCTTCATATCAACAATTTCCTCAGCCCAACTCATATAGGGAGGGTGTTTTTTTTTTTTAATACAACACACAATTTTTGCAAAAAAAGGCTATGACAGGCATGCCTTTGCTGTTTAGAAACAAACTCTATGCCAAGGCAAAAAACTTTGCCTAAGGTTAAACAATGAACAATTCACAGAAATTTGTAGAATTTTTAATTATTACCTTGACACCAGGTGGTTATGTTGAAAAGTATAAGGACATGAATTTTTGGCACGTACATTTTTTTTCATCACAAAAATGCACCTAATTCACAATATCAATCATCAAAAATTAAGGCCCTGATATGGGCGATATTAAAACTGAGCACTCCAGGAAATCAGGAATAGTGCCGTTTGTGTTACATCAAACCAGCAGCTCACATAATGAACCTTGAAAAAAAAGGTGAGCCACAACAGAATTTTGTCAGAAAAAACAGCAAGCTGTCCCTAATACCCAACTGTTCCACTTATTCTATGCATTTAATATGTAGTGCTTATCTGTTTTGTTCCCACTTTGCCCAAACAACCTGCAACTTTCACCTTTTCTTTCAAGGTACAGTGTAAAACTAGGTGGCAGCCACTGTGGCACTACTACTCACAGACAGGTGAAAAAGTTTTTTGCACTCCTTTAGGGCTTCACAAACAAACAGATAAGCATCACACTGTACACACGAATAATGAGTGGTTCACTTGTGCATTTGGGATGACTTGCCATTTTTCCAACGAGATTCTAATGCAACATACCTTTTTTCAAAGTTCGTCATGTGAGCGTGTGATCTAATGTAACACAGAAGGAGCATTTCCTGCAATCTCGCAGCACTCAGTTTCGATATTATATGGATCGGGGCCCTCAATTTCGATTATTGATATTTCAAGCTATGCAAGTCTTTTTCTCTTTTTTTTATGGATTTAAAAAAAAAAAGGGTATGCCATAAACTGTTCCGTTCAAATTTTACCTATAAACAACTGCCATCACAGCAGCCTCTAGTAATTATTGTGGCACAATGAAATTCAACCAAATGCATCGGTGAAAGCGAAACTGAAGCACTGATGAGCGCAACAAGCAGGTGAGCAGAATGACGTCACTGTTCGGAACTACAGAGGTGCAGTTCTTCCATTTTTATTAACGTATGAGCACCATGCATGCAATGTAATTGAAAGCGCAGCTCGCATGCTCAGACAATGAAGTCGGCTCATGGTTGATATAATGATGCCCACTCATTCTGGATGTCTCCGAAGAATGTGACACTTGTGCCCTTCCATGTTCCACTTTCACCACAGAATTTGAGTGAATTTTGTCACTTTGCAATTATTACTACACGAGGCCACTTTTTTCAAAATGTTGAAGCTACGATGGGTTATTTGCATGAGCGACTGCAATTATCTCACTTGACATAACTGCCTAACTACCCCAATTAAAAAGTTCCTTTAAGTTTTTGAATTACTATCTTAAATTATGAATTTAGCCATAAATTACAGAAGAAAGAATTGTGAAGACATAAAAAAAATATCACATTTCCGTGATCTTCGAGAATTTTGTACATATTTATTGAAGCACCCAGTATATACAAAGGAACTAAATCAGACATTAAAGTACAATAAAAATTTCTTCTCAGATCATTAAATTACTTTTTATAAAGAAGCTGCAATAGTTTTCTTGCGCACTAGTCTCCTAGGTTGTATATAATGTAACCTGATTTTCCATAATGATTCACTCAGTTTGTAGATAATTATATATAAACAAGGACACCCATGCACAAGGTGACAGTCTCACATGCTCTATTGAGGCGATACTACCTCTCTCTGCAAAAAAAAGGTAATTTATACCTCAAAAATTTCAGCTGGATGCATCTTTACATTTAGAGAACAAATCTCAAACAGATTTGTAGTGAGGACAAAAGTTGACCTTCCTGCTCTATATTATCCCTTAGTGAACCAAGTTGGAATTCACATGTTACAAATGCGCCAATGAAGCTTATATCAGAAGATGTGCATGCTAATCTAGGAAAAATCCATGGAGTAAGTTAATCTGAAAAATATTTACCTTAACATTTTCCACTGGGCATATATAAGATGTTTCCCAAAGTTTTCCCCGCCCAAAATACATGTAAAGGTATATAAAAGTACATATCTAGAAACTGATACAGTCTGAAGATTCATTCAAATAAATGAGTGCACTTTCAACACCCATAGGCTTTATTTTCAGAAACATAGCATGTGCAATATGGTTGCAAGATGAAGAATTCACATTTCTTTTTCACATTACCTTTACTTAATGTTATCATCATCATTAAATGAAACAAGCGCCCCACGATCCCCGATGCATATTGTTACCTGCAGAGGAGACCGAGACTTGTATGACTGAAGGGGTGTTTATTAGGTCGTGAAGGTGAGCGCGGTGATTCTCGCAACGTCATCGTCTTCACTCTAGCTGCCGCTCAGGGCAGCCAGCATGTTCGCTTATATTTGTTTTCCTCACGGATATGTGCAACATTTCTCTGCTCACAGACGAAGCCCGCCGGGCGAGTTAGGTTGTTCATCTTGGTGTGAAGAACTTCAAGTAAGCAACATGGACAGCTTGGGCTTAAGCAGCTCCTCAACCCCTCGCCGTGAGGCGAGCTATTGTGTATGTGACCTCACTAAGTTTGTTGAGAACAACAAACGGTCCATCGTATGTCGGCAAGAACTTTGGCATGACCCACGCTTCCGCACTGAGGTCCATAGCTACACTATGTCACCGGGACGATAAGTCGCAGGACGGTGGCGAATGTCGTAGAGCATTTTCCATCTGTCTCGAGATGCCAAAGGCCATAAACGAGCAATACGACGCATCTTTTCAGAAAGGCAGAGGGTTTCAGCGACAGTGAGGTTCTCATGAGAAGAGAAAGGTAAAACTGTGTCGAGGGTGCGCCGTAGCGGACGGGCGTAAAGCAAGAAAAAAGGACTGTAGCCGGTAGTCTCCTGCGTAGCAGCGTTGAACACACATGTTATGAAAGAGAGTATGTCATCCCAGTTCTTGTGGTTGGATGAAATATAGATAACATGTTTACAGTAGTTCCGCTCCGCGAGTCCATTTGTTTGCAGATGGTATTGTGCCGAGTGACGCAGGTAGGAGTCACACAAACATAGCAGCTCTTCGACGATATCTGCCATGAATTGCCTTCCACAGTCGCTGATGATCACACGAGGTGGACGATGTTGGAAGATGAAGTGTTGCAATAGGAACGTTGAGATGTCGCTAGCAGTGAAGAGGGCAAGGTTGCTGTCTCGCAATAGCATGTGAGATATTCGACACATTCAATAATCCCTCGATTGCCCTCAGCGGTTTTGGAGAAAGGACCCAGGAAGTCAATGCCCACTCGTTGGAAAGGTGTGCAGGAAGGTGGCATCGGCTGTAGAAGACCAGCTGGAGCAGTGGATGGGCGTTTGTCGTGCTGACACTGCGTGCAGCTGGCTACATACACATCAACAGACTGCCGCATTCCTGGGCAATAAAAATGTTCCTTCGTACAGTAAAGCATCCGCGCAGAACCTAAATGTCTGGACGTGGGGTCATTGTGCATAGCACTCAGAATTGCTGACCGAAAGCTCTTCGGTACCACGAAGAGGAAATGGGCACCAGAGCTGGCCAAAATTCTTCTTATACAGAAGTCCATTACGTACACAGAACCAGTGTGCTGTAGTAAGGGGCAGACAGAGCGGGAAAGAGCGACGTTAATGTAGCAGCCTTGCACTGTTCAACTTTGAAAGTTGCAAGGTCTGGAAACTTCGATGACATGGAAGCTACAAGGTGGTCAAAGTGATCAGCGTCACAGCCCATCGTGG